TCCCACATTTCTTATCTGAATAATGCAGAGTAAACGTTACAATCACACCCTGAACCTAAGGAGTGGACGGTTTTTGTCATCACATGGCATCAGTTCTGTGCACTTTCTTAGGGACTCATTTTTCAGAGGACCACATTTTTCCATTATTTCAACATCACAGTGTCAGAAATCTATCCTATCTTTGGTGCTTGTACATCCCTTGTTAAAACCTAATGATATGAAAATGAGTGTGCTAGGACAGATGGCAGTTTAGAGACTCATAGCTTTGCCCCCTGACTCCCAGCCAGGGGTTGGGCTACATCCTCCCCTGCCTCAGCCCCACTGCACCCTTCCTCACACTTGCTGCCTTGCCATGACTGCTGAACTGTTCTGACAGAATTAATCAGTCGGGAACCAGAGATCTGTGTGGTTCTGTGTTAGAAGTAGAAAGACACTGGGCAGAAGAAAAGCAAAATGGTGTCTGATTAGGAAAGCATGACCTTGGAGTCGTAATATTAGGCACATGTCAGTCTGAAGTGCAAGAGTGGGAGAATTGACTTCACATTCACACACTGGAGTAGGAAAAAGTCAGGGACAGAATTCCACACCCAGAGGAGACCCGTATCACGCATGTGGTTGTACTTACTAAAACTTTGCCTAAATGGCCATTGCAGAGAAGCTGACACACCTGCTTCCCCAAGGGAAGAAAGAGCACATCACACAAGAGGTGACTGTTGAGACTGTGAGACCTGCTGTATTAGATCTGCCATCCCCACCCCCGAGACCACAACTGGCACCAGGCTGTAGCCTGCTAGGAACTGGGCCACATGGCAGGAGGTGAGCAGAGGGGGACAGAGCAAAGCTTCAGCTGTATTACAGCCTCTCCCCATCACCTGCATCACTGCCTGAGCTCCGCCTCCTGTCACACCAGCAGTAGCTTTAGATCCTCACAGGAGCTCGAACACTACTGTGAACTGTGCGTGTGAGAGGCCTAGGTTTGTGCTCCTTATGAGAATCTAATGCCCCCCACCCAGTCCATGGGAAAAAAATTATCTTTCATGAAACTGATCCCTGGTGCTGCAAAGGTTGGGGGCCACTGTTTGTGTAAATGTAGTCATGTGGTAAGCACTGAGGTCAGCCGCAGAGTATATAGTTGTTGAGTTTTACAACTAAGTCTCGATCTCCTTAGCATCATTCTGTCTTGCCTCAGGCTTGCAGGCCCCAAAGTCTCAGCTGGTAAACTAAAAATGATATTTTCTAATTGCCATGAGACACAACTTCAGAACTCTCCAACCTCTTTCTGCCTCTTTCTTGACCCTTCCCCAAAACCAATGCATTTTTCCTCAGATAAAGTAAAGTGAATTTCTGAGATTCCTCTTGTCAAAGCCAACCATGTTGGCAAGTTGTGTATGATGGACAAAAAAGGTAATTCATTGGGGTGATCAGAGGAGGAAACACCTTTTATTAAGAGTCACAAAAAGTTCTAAGACTAAAGAACACTGCTTTGCTTCTGAAAAAAAAAAAGGTCCACCTTCTATAAGAAACAGCAGAATAAGGAAGTGTTATTATTGTGATTACCTGAAGCTTGAGGATGAGTCCCAAAAAACTCTTAAGTTCTCCCTCAAATTCCCCAAAATTGTCTACCCACATTCCCTTTCAAATATTCCATTATTTCTGTCCTTGTATGTTGTGTACAGACACAGATTGTCCCTGAACTTCTGGTCAAAGTGACAGGCCTGTTCTAGGCAGCCTTGGGAGCAGCAGGAAATGCTAAGACCAGTGCCAAGAGGTCAGCAGTGAGCACAGGGCAACTGGAAGCTCATCTTCCTCAGCAAGAAACAGCTCATATCTGAAGGTGGCGCTGAGGGTGTTTGGCCCTCTGAGCAAGGCATAAGACCAGGTTCTGACTTCTGAGAGCAGGAGGGGTGGTGACCAATCTGAGGCCTACTATGGGCACCAGGATGACCAGAACTCAGGAGAACAGGCTGGACCAGATAGAGCCATTGGAGCTCCAAGTTTCAAGAAGGCCAGGACACTATTCTGTAAAGAGAAGAGAAAAATGCAGTGAGGACAGAGATGGGCCAAAGAGGGGTTGGTTATTCCACACATGCTCCACAAGCTAAGGAAGAGGACTGGGGCCCCCAATAGGAAAGAGAACAGAGCTGTGCACACCCCACACTGATGTGAGCCAGGTCAGAGGCCTGGGCATTATTCCAAGGACATTTGACTAGCTCCCATGTGAGTCACAAGCAGCTTTTACACTTACTGACATGCCTTACCATCAGACAGTAACAAGTCTGTGAGGTTAATGGGACAAGTGTGTCTCCACTTTTCAGATGAAAACACTTAGGTTCAGAATTAAGTTCTAAGATTATACAGCTTCAAAGCAGCAGCAACAGGGCTCAAATCCTAGACTTCTGTTGCTGAAATCTGTTCTATTGTGGACATTGACTGCTCTCCACATGCCTCAGTCAGCTCTTAGCTCTACTGAGTTCCAGAGTTAGTTGCTTGACCGAGCAGCCTCACACTGACTACACTGGGGCTTCAGACTGTGACCCTCCTGAGGCGGCCCCCAGGGACTGCACTTTGGTTTCCTGCTGCAATTTGGGACAGGGCTTCTTTCTGCTGGCCCTGAAGAGATATGCAGTTCAGGGCTGAGATCCTGACCCTCTGATGAGACTCTTTCATGGACAATCTCAAAGGGTTTAAGGATAGGAGTCATCAAGGAGAATTACCCCTGGGTTGAGAGTAAAGACTGATCATTATAAACCTGCTCTATGATTTGAAAGCAATTTTTATGATTTTGGAAAGTTGTCTATTTTCTATAATTTTCACTTTCTTCATGTTTAATATAAGAATGTTGATCAAATAATTTTCAAAACTCCCCTTGTTCTCACATTCAATACTTGTTGGCTTTTAAATGGCATTCCTGGTGTCAGCCACTCCCCTGCCCCCAGGGAGAAGAAATCTCTTAGCATGCCTCAGTTCAACCCCTGCAAACACTCATTGGAGCAGGCCCCATGGTGCTGGGAGAGCTACCCTCATCCCCAGAGTCACCCACCATCCCTCCCCCTGCATCACCCTCCATGACAGCCTTCATGAACCCCATCTGTAGGCCTCACCTGAGCAGATCACAGCTACATCTTCCTTGTGGGTGCAGTCATGATACCCCCAAAACCTATGCTGGCAGTACTCCAAGGACTGCTCTTTCCCTGAGCAACGAACATCATCCAGCCAGATGCGGCCAACCCCAGGGCCATAGCTTTTCCTGTCTTTGGGTGATGGAGAGAGGGGCTTCCCACAGCCCAGCTGCTTGCACACCACTTGGTCCTCCCGTGCCCCCCAGCCGTCATCGCAGACGGAACCCCACACGCCCTTGTGCAGCACCTCTAGTCGCCCAGAGCACGGCTTGTCTCCTGCGAGTCTCAGATCAAAGGCATCTGCAGGATGGACAAGGACATGGGGGTTGAGAGAGGAAGGGATAGAAGAAAGAAGAGGTTCAGTCACATCTCACCAAATGTCACCTGCGCATGTGGACCTGCTCATGTGTGTGTGGGGTGTGTGTGTCATTAGAGCTCCTTCTGTCGGTCCCCATGTGGTTCCAGCCCCTCAGCTCCAGGCCTGCTTCTCTGACTAGGGACTTTTTTCTTCCAGTCTATTCTATAAATCCAATATATATCATTGACTTTGCAGTAGGTTTTAAAAATCAAAGAACTCAACAGATACATAGACTGGTATATCTGGTCCCTATTACACAGAAGTGAAGACAATACCAGTTCATTGTTAATATAGTACCTAACATTATTTAAATTTTTGTCATATACAAAGTCAAGTTTTATTATCTCTATTCTAAAAACAAAAGAATTGGTGATAAGCACAATTAAATAAGTTTGCAACGGTCCTTTGGTACATGAGGAGTTCCTTGTAAATTCTGTCTGGATGGGATTCTATGTAACTACATCTGTGAATGAGCCGAGTCCCAGACACACAGCGTTACCTTCACACTCAACCCAAACTTGGTCATCAAAGGTGCAGTTGCTCTTCCCCTGAGGCCTGGAAGGGCAGTCCTGAAGGCTGACTTCCTGTCCTGAGCAAGACATCTGGCTGGGCCAGATGGGTCTTTGGCCCTGGGCAGATTCTTCACAGTGTTTCTTGGTCAGCACGGCCCGCCCGCAGCCCAGCTGGCGGCACACCACCTTTGCGGCCTGGAGGTTCCAGCCCGTTAGGCACACTGCGTTCCACTCGTCCTGGTGCTTCAGCTCCACTCGCCCCTGGCATTGCCCAGGGCCATCAGCCAGCCTCACGTCCTCAAAAACTGGGCTTTCCAGGTCTGGGGAGAAAGAAAAGGGAAGTGTCTGCTCCCTGTTAGAACATAGGCTTCTCAGAAAGGGGCCCTGTGGCCACATCTTGGGCCTTGGTGTTCAGTATAATCCACACTCAATTGCCCAGCGTTGCCCAGCGGAGGCTTGCAGAAAGAATGCATGAGCGCATCAGCCCAGGAAACACCATTTCTCTGTTCCAGGTTGACTTGCAATCATTTCTGTAGCATTTTAATTTTTCAAATTATTTTCACTTTCAACTTCTCCTTTGCTGCTCACAAGATGCAGAGACATTGTGAAGATGTTTTTTAAAAGAACGAAGCACAGTAACATCCAAAATGTGCCCCAGCAACCAAAAACTCTGGCTCAGTGTTGGTGTTATCAGCCAGGTAGCCTAGATCAGTGCTCCCGACCACAGGAATGAGACTCCAGTATCGGGGCAAAAAGCAACGTTTCTGCCACTGGAGAGGCTGAGGCAAGAGAATTGCTTAAGCCCAGGAGTTGGAGGTTGCTGTGAGCTGTGTGATGCCATGGCACTCTACCAAGGGTGATAAAGTGAGACTCTGTCACTACAGAAAAAAAAAGCAACGTTTCTCAGGAACAAATTCCACGGGGAGACAAAGAAAGAGAAGACACAGACTAGTCCCTCAGTCAAATCACAGCCTAGTGGAGAGAAAGTACACACGCGAGGGAGAAATTGGTAGTACACAGATAGGAAAGACATGCAGGAAAGTAAATGGACGCAGAGTGGTGTGTCTATCAATCTGTCTGTCATCTCTCTGTATGTGTCTCCTGTCTACCGACTACACAGTAGACTCCTTGAAAACTGAAACTAAACAGAAAATGTACATATTCTGTGAGTTCATCTCTTCCCCCACAACTCCACCCCCAGCTCCAGATACAGGATACACACTCAACAACGTTTAGTGGTTTCTCCATCTCTGCGCGTGTGTAAATAACAGAAACAGGTTAGACTGAAAGAGAGAGAAGCATGAGGCCAACCACGTGGGAGTAACAATTCTAAATGAGGATGTTGTTCATCTCCAGGGCTCCTGACGGAGGAGGTCTGAGGAGTGAGGACTGGAGGCCGGTTAGCCCTGGTGTGAGTGTCTGTGGCCAGGAAGAGGAGTGACCCTGAGGGGTGCAGGCAGCTGCCAGGTGGTTGGTGAGTCGGGAATACTCACTCTCACACACGGCACCAGCGGCCTCATCAAGAGAACAGCCGAACACATCTTCGTCTTTCTTGCACTGAGCCAGGGTTTTTTCCGTCCCACTGCAGTCGACATTTTGAAGAAGGATTTTCTGGTCTTCTTTTGGTAATGGTTTATATAAATTACCACTGATGGCTCTCTTGGCCACACCACAGCCCAGCTCCTGGCACAGCACAGCCACGTCGTTCATGTCCCAGCCATCATCACACACCAGGCCCCAATGGCCCTGCTGTTCCACCTCCACCCGCCCCTCACAAGAGTGGGAACCTTTCACCAGCCGGACTCTGGGTGGGGGCCCTGCAAAGAGATGGGGTATTTAGCTGGAGATCCGGGATGAGTCCAGGGGTTGCTTGGGCACATACTCAGTCAATTTGGGACCCTCTGCCCCTGACAGAGGTGAGTGGGGTTGAGGGGCCAAGAAGGAGGGAGCAGGAGGGAAGACCAGGGAGAGGCTCTTGCCCCACCTCTGAGTTCTGATTCTGCTACACCCCCAACTGTACCCTCAAGAAACTTCACTTCTAGATGCCTAGACGTGACTTCTGAATTTTTCAGTATGAAGATTAAGGGAGAGATGCTAGTTAAAGATCCAACAGACTATTTGGACTCTCTGGTAGTCAGAGCCAAAAGGACCTACAGAGACCATGAAGCCCATCCAGTCCACTGCTTCGCAGATGAGGAGTATGGTCCTCGGGGATGTGGTGGTCCTGTGGTCACATGGTCCAGTAGTGGAAACCCCAGGCCAAAGCAGAAGGGTGAAGATGGTATCTGTTGTGTTTGTTCTTCTCCACAACCCTCTTTCTACAGCAGCCAGACTGAGGCAGGGTGTGTGCACACAACTTGAGCTGAACCACTCAGCTCTCTCTCTCACCATCAGTGACCCACCCTGACCCCTTCTATGACATCGTCCCTTATACAAATACCCAGTGGAGAAGAAATGCAGAGAGCAGAGAGCAGAGAAAGTCAGAACTGCAGAGTCTCAGAGCCATAGTATTTAATAGTTGGTCTAGAGAACTCTAGAGGTTGGCAGTAGGAGAGAGGATCTGGAGAGTCTCCAGATAAGTTCCAAGGAATCAAGGACTAGGTTCTGCTTCCTCATAGAACTCTAGGGGTAGAAAACATCAACAGAAATGCTAGTAGCAAGACACGCAGGCAGAGTAGAGAGGCCTGTGTGGGGAGACTAAGGAAGAGCTGAACAGGTGCTGAGCACATACTACCTTCCAGGTATTGTTTCAAGAACTCAGAGGACATTGATGAACAAAATAGATCACACTGTTGCCCTCGGGAGTTCCTGGGAAGTAGGCTTGGCCACCTGGCAAAGTCTCAGAGCAATAACACAGCAGGGACTGATCATGCCCTGCCTTTGTGGAATAGGTCAGTCAGTGGAGAGTGTTCTGGTGCACTGGGAAAGGCCACATTTGACAGGAAGCCTATTGGGGTATAAACAGCTTAATAGAAGCCAACATGGGCTACATGGGATGATCCAGATGCCTAGGTAGGTAACAGTGACTTTTCCCATTGCCTGCCTTGTCTCAATGCTGCCCAAATTTCCTGAAACTTGGAATCAAGCCAAGAGAAGTGGTTGAGTGAGAAAACTCTAAACGTTTATGTTTATTTCTTTTGTTCTTCTCCCTTAATTTTTGGGGAGAGCAATATAAACTTGAAGGCTAGAGATAGAAATTAAAATTTTAACCATAAAAAACTGAGAAAAGTTTCTGGCTGGGCCTAGTGCCTCACATCTGTAATCCCAGCTCTCTTGGAGGCTGAGGCAAGAGGATCCCTTGAGCTCAGGAGTTCAAGACCAGCCTGAGTAAGAGCGAGACCCCATCTGAACTAAAAATAGAAAAACTAGCCAAACATTATGGCAGGTGCCTGTAGTCCCTGCTACTCAGGAGGCTGAGGCAGGAGGACAGCTTGAGCCCAGAAGTTTGAGGTTGCTGTGAGCTAGGCTGATACCATGGCACTATAGCACCATTGGGCAGCAGAGCGAAACTCTATCAAAATATAGTAATACAAAAATCTTTCATTTTTGTACACCTGAGTTCAAAGCTTATATACCTGGTTATAAATATAATTCAAGGTCAATGACCTGGAAAACACTTTGGGTCACTGTATCTAAGATTAATTTGGGTTGGCATTATTGTGTAGCCTGGGGAATACTACCTATCAGGCTGAAGCACAGGATATTTTATTTCACTGTGGTTTCTAAAATTCTTAATTTTAATGAATTTGCATTTTCAGGTAAGTAGAACAGTTCTTAGGAAAGAAAAAAAATAAGCAAAAAAGGAAGTATATAAGAAATTCAGTCGGAGTAAAGACATAAAAGCAGAGAGAAGAGTGCAGGGGCTCACAGGGCAGCCCGTCCTAAGGTGTGGTTAGCCTCGTCTTTAGTCTTCGATGTCAGCAAAGGGCTTGAGAGAAGGGCCTGGGACAGAGCAATAACATCCTGGAGGACCGGGCTGCAGAGAGAGAGCAGCTGTCTACCTGTGTTGGCAGCAACACGCAGCCCTGTGGCCTAAGAAAAAAGACTAAGTAATCTAAACAGCAGCGTGCAGACCCGGAAGCAGTGCTCCTTAAGGAATCCACCTGTACCTGTCGGGGTGTAGGACCCTGAACACCAGTAGCAGGGCTGGCAACTATCCCCTCTGGTTAAGCCTCTGCAGCCAAAGTATAGACTGCGTTAAAGAAACTGACAAGCTGCCACCAAGGCGCTGGAGTTGGGGCCCTCATAGCCTCCCTCTCCCCCAACCCCTTGTCTGTGTGCACCCTCTCCTTGCGTGGACAGTTTGTGTGTTCCCCAAAGACTTTCTGAAGAGGTAGCCAGCGTCCTCTGCTGGTCAAGCCTTGTGCTGCACAGAAGCAGATGAATTTCTAATTCAAATAAGGTTGCGGTAAAGCCTGGATGTGCTGGGGCCCAGCAGAGCAAAGGAAAGTTCCTTTCTCAGAGAGGCCCACAAAGAGGTGAAGAGCCCCTGGACCTGAAATGTAGCCATCTTCTTGAATTCAGCCACAGGGGAGGAGTGTCCTGCCAGGATAAACAATGTTAAATGCCTCTAGGTTTTGGAGGTAGAAATCCACCCTCTCAAGACTGAGTGGGTGTGGGGAAACCAGAAATGAAGTTTACTGGCCTGTTTTGAACCAGAGTCTCTCTTCACGGTCCAGGAAGCTTCAAAATCTCCCCTCCCCTGAGTGAAAAGGCCTCCCTCTCAGAAATCCCCAAAAAACTTACCGAGGAGTCCAGGTCTGGTGCAAATAGCTAGAAAAGAAAGAAGATGAAGAGTGAGGCCACGAAGTCAGTTTCCAGGGCTTTGTTCAAAGAACACAACACCCTTGCCAGTCTTTGTGAGACAGGGTGGTAGATACAAAGACAACAGCATCAGTCACATTGGGACCTTCTTCTCCTGGGATGACCAGCCTTGAGGGACACAGACATTGGCTGGGAACCACAGTTACCAGTTTGACTACAGCTACCTGACCCGGCCTGTTTCCTTCACATGGGATGGTGGCCCAGCCTTAGGCAACAATCGATTTGCTTTTCTATTCTGGTGGATTAGAACAATGGGTTATCACTGCCTGAAGTAAATGTGTGGCTATGCAGCCTCTTGGCTCAGCAGAAAGCTTGGTGCTCTGGTGGAGGAAAGTGAAGCTGCCCGGGGGGCTGCAGCGAGTAGAGGAAGGGGGCAGGACCTGCCTAAGCAAAAGAAAGTTCCCTGGCATTGCATTTAGACCCGGCCAGCAAACTCTCTGTAAAGGGAGTAAATACGCTGGGCTTTGTGGGCCATATGGTCTCTGTTGCAATGCTCAACTGTCACCAAGTAGCATGAGAGCAGTCGTATGTATGCACACACATGAGCATGATGGTGTTCCAACAAATCTTGATTTATGGGCACTGAAATTTAAATTTCATACCATTTTCATGTTTTATAAAATACTATTTCTTTTGCTTTTCCCCACCATTTGAAAATGTAAAACTCACTCTCAGCTTTGCAGGCTATAGTTTTCCAACCCCTGGTTCAGAGCAGCAGCTCAGAAAGCAGCTCCATGAGTAGTTCCTGAGCACCAGATCCCAGACCCAATGTAAGTCTCAAGCACAGAAGCTTCTGCCCACAGCATCTCCAGGTGGGTGGACTCCTCTCCCTGGGGCTCCCTCCTGATGCTGCAGGGTTCTTAGCCCTTGACCTTCAATAGTCCCTGCATTTTCACCTATAGAACTCACCCACAATCTACCTTATAGGATTTTTCTGGAAGAGTGAGTATCTTTGGACTGCCAGCCTAGAGCTTTTCAGATGGATCCAAGTACCTCAGTGGCTTATCCTGCAATATTTTCTTCTCCTGGCTTCTAAACAACTTCTCATTAGCCCCATGCCCTTAATCTTCAGAATGTGACTACTGTCAGACTCACTGAGGCCTTATCTCACTGTCTAAAATCCAAGACTATGTCATGGATTTGACATTGTCATAAGTATGACATTGCATAACCCCACCCACAAAACTTATATACACATGAAGGAAAATGAGCATTCCGAGTCTGATACTCAGGTAAGAAAGTAACAGAACCAGTAAGGGACTTGGAAACTCTGCAGCAGGTGGACACCTGCAGGTGGCACAGACCAGGAAAGCTTCTTGAAGGAAGGGCAAGTGTAAGTGAGCCTGGAAGACCCCAAAGGATATTCATGAGGGGCAAGTTAGCTGTCAGGTACTATGGGGGATGCAGATGTTTCGGATAAGACCAGCCTCTGGGGTTGGACACATCAGTACCCCCTGAGAGCCCATCTGGGCTTTGGTGACACACTAGATCAGTGGTTCTCAACCTTCCTAATGCCACGAACCTTTGATACAGTCCAAAGGGGTCACGACCCACAGGTTGAGAACCCCTGCACTAGATCATCAAGGCAGTAGACATGCTTGTTGACTGATCAGGGCAGGGATCCTGCAGGCATTGTTATGGCCTGATACTGTTATATTATGAAAAGTCTCCTAACAAGCTTTTGAGAAACATAATATTATCTTCACTTCAGAGAAGAGAGAGCAAGGGTCCAGAGGAGTTTGGTAACATAAATTCAGGCAGCTAAGAAATCAGAGTCAGGGAAGAAACCCAGGTCTCTTTGTCTCTGAAATCTCTAGATTAACCTAGGCAATAAGAAACTGGGAAAAATTAGGGAAAGAGTGTTTGAAAGAAACACTTTTCAGAGGAAAACAGGCAATATGATCAATGAAAGGTGACTGTCTCACATTTCGACTTTCTTTCATGGCTCTACCTGCTGCCGGCACCCAGGGTGTATTCCTTTGTCTTTTCATAACTAGTACACTTAAGAAGATTTATATAAAGAGGGAAGCAGATTAAAGTGTCATAAATCTATCAGTGAATATATAGGGAAAGAGGAAAAATCTGATAATCTAAGTAGATTATAAATGGGGTATAGACAAAGTGGCTTTTGGGAGTTTAGAATAGCTGCCATATAGAAGGGAAGAAGAAAACCATTCTTGAAAGTGCCATCCTTGAATACCATCCTGAATCTCTGTCAAATAAACAGGGGGAGGATTCTAATCGAAGTTCCAGAAAACTCTGAAGTTTAAACCAACAGGAGCAGAGATACTCACCCAGGATCAAGGAGAATAGCAGAGCCATAAGCCAGGCCGCTGAAGGTGATGAGCTGAAATAAGGACCGAAGGAAGCCCCTGAGCAGCAATATTTAGTTTTGACTGCAAGTACCCTAATAGGAGGGAGAGAGGCAGGTCCTGAGTGTGTCAAAGTGTCATCAGATGACCAGAACCAATGGATTCGGGACACAGAACTGATAGGACTGAAGTCAGCATGTTCCAGAGGAAGGGAGGTGGCCAAAACTGCCCAGAAAATGCTACAAACAAAACTAAACTGAAGTAAACTAAAGCAAGCTGTCATGATCGGTTCTGCTGTAAGTCCAGCTCCAACCACCTCTGCTTCGGCCCCTTCTCTATGTAAGCAGGGGAAACAGCTCCCATGGGGAAAGACAGGTGCCAAAAATGTGGTCATCTCTCATTAGAATACCAGGCAACAATCAGCCTTTAAGTATGATCTCTGGGGTAAGTCAGCCAATTTTGTTTCCTTTACTCCAGAAGAAAGTGCCCAGAGAACACAGAGCCAGAAGCCATAGAATAAATAGTGTTGTCCTTGGAGGTGCATCTCATAGGCCATAGTCCAGAGTCAGAATGTCAATCTCTGTATGCTGGCCTAAAGTTACCACCTTCAAAGCAGCTTTCCCAGTGCTAAGCAGGGGGTCTGCACTTCCTCTACATGAACGGATGTATGCCCTTCTTTGGGAGCAGAGGGGAGGCAGGTCCCTATGGTTATGGAAATCATGTTCTCCAGACTCAGGTTGTCCTTAAGTCTAAGGTATGACAGACTTGAGGAGATTGAGGAGCAAGACCCTAGGTATTCCCAGGCCCCTCTGCCATGTTGTCTTATTAGCCATCGCTACATTCAGGAGCTACTCAACTCCAGAGTAACCAATAACTTCACATGCTCATACAGCCCCCGCTGTTGCAAACAGGGCAATTTTTCCTCTGCAATGAGACATCTTAGCTTCTTTGTAATATTCAGGGCACTCAGCACAAAGCTTGATTCATTGTAAGCATTCATCTTTAATCCCATGTTTATTTACTTATTATTCTATTCAATAAAAAAGCTTTTAGCACCCGCAATTACCATGTGGAGTGATGGGTGGAGGCAGAACGTGGCTGAAGAAGTGTAAGAAACTTCAGGAACATATGGAGAAAACAGTCACTGTACTTGAGACTAATCAGAGAAGCCTTCTCAGCAACGAGGACACTTGCGCAGGGGAGTAGGATGAGTAGAGGGGAGAATTGGAATGGAGACGGGCTGTGCTATGCAGACACACAGAACAGCTCTGTGGAACAGCACTTGAAGAACTTCAGGCGGTGTGGATGACTGGATCACAGCCTATTTGTGTCAAGATCAGGAGTCACTGGTGCTGAGACGTTATAGTCACTAGATGATGTGCCAATGGTAACCAGGTTGAGATAATGGACGGTCTGCTGCAAATGTGTTTGTAAATGCCACCTACTCACATCCGTCCCTCTCTGGATTCCAGAGTAATGCAGTAACAGACACAGTAAGAGAATTCAGAAAAGATTCAGCTTTCCTGCTGAGGAAGATGCATCACCTTGCAACTGGGACCAAAGTCCTACACATTTACCGCCACTCTCGAGGGCCAGGCATGCACAGCTGACTGCTGCACTGGACGAGAAAAGACATCACATTGCCCCAAGGTAGACACACCTGCCAGACAGCACAGGACTCATGATCCAGAAATATATTTCTTCCCCTCCTATATGGACAATCAAGTGAAAGAAGAGAGGAAAAAAAGGAAACCTCTTTTCCCCCAATGTAGTATTTTGTTAACAGAAGCAAGAGCATGAAGGAAGGAAAAGGAGGATTTTTCAGTCAAAACGGACATTATCCTTGTGTTCTGGCACTGCAGTGGGGGAGGGATTGGAATGCAGGATGACTGAATTGGCCAAGAAGACCCATTAGTGGTCCCCTGAGAGCAGAGGGGACTAGAGCGGTGGCAGAGGGCAGCACCTCATGGTCACGGTGCTGAGGGTGAGATGGGGAATGAGTTGCTTCACATGGGCAGGGGGCTGTTGGGGGCCGAGAGCATCTGGAAAGCAGTCAAGGTCTGGGGCAATCACTGAGAGGAAAAGGGATGCTGGGGAGTAAGAAATAAAATATCTAGTCTACAGCGTTGGGTTGAAAACCCCGCATTTGCACGTGGCGTCAGTGTGCCCGGTTGTGAACTTCAGCCTGCGGTCAGAGGGCGGGTGTGACAGGCTCGGGGGTGGGCGAGGCTTAGACAAGAGGGGAAATGGGCTGATACAAAGTGAAAAAAAGAAGTCAGTGCTGGGAAGGGTGAGCTGAATGAGGAAGGGCTGGGAAAAGGAAAGTGGTAGAAAGTTCAAGGTAAGGGAAGTTGTTTAAGGTTTCAGAGGAGGAGCAGTTCCGGGCCGTGACCCAGCACAAGCTGGGGCACTAGAAGACAGTGAAGGTGAAAGTTTCAGAAACTGAGGCGTTTAGGGAATTGGGAAGAGGTTATCAGAAGATTGCCCAGAAGAGCGAGGGGGATGGGAGCACAGGTTGGGGAAGCCCGAAGCTGTGTGGAGGTAGATAACTGCTGGGAGGACATCAATGTGTGACACACGTCAGAAGCTAGAAGGCAGCCTGTCATGAAGGGCGAGCTCTGTGTCCTGCTAGTGTGGCATCAAGGTGGAGCCCCTCTGACCAGCAACAGGATGTGTCAATTATTCGTGGGCTCCATGGGAGTGGGACATCACTTTTATACTTTAAGTGCTTGCCTGGAATGAACACATTGAACGACTGTGGTGTCAGGGAAGGGACATCACCGAGCTTTCAGACCCTCGGAAATGCGTCTCTTGGCTCTACTCCTGCCCACCTTCTGTCTTGTGTGGCGGTCAAGGACTCACATTTGGAGAGGGCTGTAGGGAGGCTAGGCTTCCCTGGGCCACCTTTCTGAGAGCTGTGACCCCGCTGCAGCAAGCTGCGGGGTGGTGGCCCGTTCTGTGCAGAGAGGCGCTTTCCCCACTCTGCGACTCTCATTTGTGCACCTGTCCCCTCCCCCCATAGTGCAGGGTGGAGAAGGAGCTCAAAATCATGTCACATGAGAACTAGATCTAGGCCTCGGGGGTCAGGGAGTGAGCACGGTCTTTAGGCATTTAGAATAAAATTGTTCTGTGGGACCCTGGAGGTGAAAACATCACCTATACATAGAAACCTATGGGGAAACATTTTCATCCTGAGAAAAAACTGAAGACAGAACAGCCAGTCCCAGAGACCATGAGCCATGTACAGCTTCGGATGTTCCACTCTGTTAATATTCACAGATACTCCATTACCTATGTCCACTGGTTATTACTAATACATTTTTAAAACTGCCAAATCTTAGGGTTGTTTACTTCAAAAAACATTCTAAAATTGTGGGCACCTGTAGTCCCAGCTACTTGGGAGGCTGAGGCAAAAGAATCACTTAAGCCCGAGAGTTTGAGGTTGCTGTGAGCAGCGATGCCTCGGCACTCTACCAAGGGTGACACAGTCAGACTCTATCCAAAAAAAAAAAAAAAAAAAAATTCTAATCCTTACCGGAGAGAGGTCCTAAGGATGTCTTAAAACTCTCACCGATCCTTTCAGCAGAGGGCCCTTGTGAAGCCAAGCGACAGAGACTGGCTGCCCAGACAGCTGACCAGATGGTCTAGCCACGCCCTACAAGCAGTAAGCCTGGTCCTGGCTGTCCCTGGTATGCTCTGTCCTAGACCTTCAACCTGTGCTCTCCAGGACCTCCCTGGAACTACCCTTAAGAAGGGCCATTACAGTGTGAAGGCTCAGCGTCTCCAGGCTTTGGGGACTGGAAGACTTGATTTCACACTTACTAGCTGTGTGATCTCAAGATAGTTTGGCGCTTCTTGGTAGTTTTGTTGGCTAGTTCTATACTTTTTTGTGCTAGGATGATCAGTTTCCATTTCTGCCTTTTATTAAATAAATCATTACTTTTTCTTGCTTAATCCTTGTTTATGTTCCATTTTTCAATGGGAAATCAAAAGTGACAGCAAAGCAGGTAGCTCACAGTGTGACACCTCAGATAAGTGCCAAGCAGGGGAGCCAGCTCACTTCCTAATGCTAATTAGGTTTTCAAGGCCTTTCTCATGGATAGCGCTGGTCTTAAATTTAGACTCCATGAAAGGCAAATTACTGCATTCTGATAAGGTCAGAACAAACAGTTCAGTAAGGGGCCTATAAGAAAAGAAGAAAGAGGAGCTTTCTGGGGAGCTGGCCTGGGTTGGGAAATGTCCCAGGGATCACTGGACATCACTGCACTATGAGGCCCCTGAATAGAGGAATTTGTACTAGTGATAAGGGGGTACGAATGCTTACCCAGGGTACTGCTGCTTAGCCTTGGGAAGGTTGTAGTGGGAAATCCAGCCTTCTCTCACCAGGGAGAGGTGATGGACTGGTGGTCCTTCATCTATGTGACCAAGAGACCCAGCAGTTCTGTCCAGCCCTGATCTCCCCTCCCTGTGTGTCCATGTCATTCATGTCACCTGCTGTCTAGGCAAGGGTGTCAGTTTCCTTTTTCAGCTCCTTGCTCCTCTTTTATGAACTGGAGCACATCAGCTATTTCCAAAGAGAGGATGGAAATAGAAGAAAGAGATGAGAGTGATGTGAATGGATGGCTGAAAGCAGGTGGGAGGAGGAGAGGAAGGGGAGATGGGGGTGTCACCCTCGCTTAGTGATCAAAGGTGGGAATACTTTTTTTTTTTTTGAGACTGGAGCCTCAAGCTATCCCCCTGGGTAGAGTGCTGTGGCATCGTAGCTCATAGCAACCTCCAACTCCTGGGCTCAAGCGAGTCTCCTGCCTCAGCCTCTCAAGTAGCTGGGACCACAGGCGCCCGCCACCACACCTAGCTATTTTTTGGTTGCAGCCGTCATTGTTGTTTAGCAGGCCCGGGCTGGATTCGAACCCACCACCTGAGGTGTATGTGGCTGGCGCCTTAGACTCTTGAGCCACAGGCCCTGAGCCAGCGAATAGCATTTTTATCAAACATCAGTAATTTAACCACAAATATTTACTGATTATCTCTTTTGTACCAAGCACTCTCCTAGTCTCTGAAAAGAAGGAGAACAAGT